AAGGTGGATGGGAAACAACGACTGTGTTGGTGCAACCAAAAAAAATCATGAGACTTTGTCATGGTAGACCACCCCATCGACATCGTGCCACAGTTCAGGTTATTTACGCTGAATGTTCTTCCTCAGTGTAGTAGAACGTAGTCTGACCTTGGAGGATGAATTCATGGCATGAAACCTTGTGAATGGGTGAGTTTCTGACCTGGTACGCCTTCTTTGGTCTTTGAAGCTGCAGGTTCTTCCACTGACGACTTCTGCTCGGTGGTTGGATCATAGCTGTAGACTCAACTCTCGTCAGCACTGGTGATCCTCCACATGAAGGTTCGGTCATCCTGGGCCTGTTGCCGAGATCGGCCTCCAACGCGGTGCTGACTCTGTAGCTCCATGGTCAAATTGCATTGGTCACATGGAGTCCTGACTCTTGGAAATTAGCGCTAGCACCTGTTTCATGCTGTGTGCAACAGGAATAGACCCTTAAGTTTTAATTACACCTTGTATCTGCAAATCATTTGACACATCCTGGTAAAAAAAAAATAAAAAAACTTCCTCACAGTAGTGCTGAAGTTCAAGACAAAGCCCCTTCTGGAGTAACTGGCCCCTTTTTGGTCAGCTGGTGTGTTTCTGAGGTGTTGTGACCCAAAAACAATAACTTTGTCTAATTTTAGAAGAAGGAAACAACAGGTCAACCATCTTTAAGACATAGTTGAGGTTTGACTGTTTGGTTTCAGATCACTTCATAGATAAATATAGCGAGGCGTCATCAGCAAAAGAATGAAAACTTCTGCAGCGTTTACTCATGATCAGTATCAGCCCTAGCACAGAACCCTGTGGAGCTCCATGACTAACTGTTGTGTGCATGGACGAATCATCATTGACTTAAACTAACTGGAATCTAATTTAAACCAGCACGGCTGAGTTCCTTTAACCCCAGTGATATGTTCCAGTCCCTGTAATTAAATGTTCTGATCGATAGCGCCAACCGCAGCAGGACAAGTATTGAGACAAGTCGACTGTCCGAGGCCATGAAAACATCATCGGTGTCTTTCACCGGTGATGTTTCTGAGCCATGACGGCTCTAAATCCTGACTGAAACTCTTCAAACAGACCATTTCTGTGCAAACGGTCGCATTGATTTTAAGCTTTGCGAAGGATTTTGGAAATAAAGGGGAGGTTGGATGTAGGTTTATAGTCGGATCAATAGTAGGCTTTTAAAGAACGGATTTAATTACGGCAACCTTTGAAGCTACATAGCCGTTAAAGGTTTAATGACATGTTGATGGTTTAGATTAAAAAAATGTTGGCTCAGAGAGATCTGTAAGAGAAACCAGTTGAAATATAAATCTACAGCCTATTTTAAAGTATGTGATAATATATGTACGCTAGTCAGAGGAAGGATGTTGTGATTCTTTCTCTAATAATCACAATTTTATGCTAACAAAGTCTTCTAAATTAACCAACAGCCATGTCCTTTCCAGGCTTCATAATGTCTAATTTAAAGTGGCTGCCCTCCACTGCATTTGCAAATTGAAGTAATTGTTATTGGCATCATTTTCTTAAATTTGGTTACTGCATGAGCAAAAAGACATGGAAATTCAACTGCTATTTAAAAATGAAAATACCCAAAAGAACATTTAGAGGGGACACGATTAGTTTGTGTAGCACGACAAAGTTTACAGGCTGCCGTTATCTATATGGTCATCCGCTATAGTGGCTTTATCTTTACGAAGCACTGAATCAGATAAAAAGTAAGAGGCCGGGGGATGATAGACAACGACAAATGAGCATGAGAGCCTTTGACTAGTTTAGATCGAGGGTTGATTACGAAGCTTTGGTGGAAGATTGCTTCATCTCCTGCTTTGAGGAGAACGACTTGACAGCTGATGTTTTCTTTCTGCTGCAACCAGGTTTCACTGAGACAGTAAAGTAATGCTGGTTTTAAATATCTTTAATTGTCCTGGTAAACTGAAAAACCTCATCAGTCGCCGAGCTGCGTCCGTCACAGTCTTGTTTGTGGCTCACGTCTGCATTTGGATGTTTTTCTGTCCGACTAGTGAAACTGTTGCTTAATTATCTTGTGTTTTGAAAAATTGTGCGCTTTCAGCCACTATGGTTACATGTGAAGGTCTTCTGAACCACAACGCGTCCTCTGAAGAACTTACTGTTTATATGCAGTCAGGTCAAGAAATGAAAGCTTTGAGTCTGGTCTTTGCTTGCTGATTACAAACTAGGGGTACACCAATTATCCACCTGGCTGATTATCGTGGCATTTTTACCATTATCTGTATTTTTGTTGACCGATTATTGCTAAATTAAATGCAGTGCTTCAGTTCTGATGTAGCCTCCTCTCTCTGTCTTCAAAAACTGAAAACACAAGCTGTTGCCACAAACCAGGAAGTTAGCTTCTCTCACAGTGGCTAATGCTACGCTAACGGCTAAGTTAGAAGGCAGCAACAGATTAACCTGAAACAGAGTTTGGTAAACAATAATTAATACTGCTTTAAGATGTGGACTTTAGTGGGAAATAAAAGTGAAAGAACAGCAGAACTGATCAGTCAATCCCAAATCCAAATTTAATCACTACTATGTCTAGTTTACATATTTAGTTATAGTCACTTTATTAACGAAGAAGCCTCGTTATGAAGGATGTCTTCTCTGCTATTGCATGCTGTTAAAACATTACCACAGTGCTTAGCAAATGGATTACCCAGTGTCAGGTTTATGCCACAACTGATCAAAATTAACAGCATTGGTAGTTACCAAAATCATTTTTTATGTTTCTGTAATGCTTAATACACCAATATGTAGAAACTCATTAGCCAAAATAATATTTCTAATGCTTAAATATAATTATTATTGTTATACGTGAATTTTCAAATGTACTGTTTTACAAAAAAACTGAAAAAAAGTAAATTTAGTCAATTATTTCTTGCTTAAAATGTCAAATTATTGTTGTTTATTTGCATTCCTGAACAGAAAAATTTGTTTTAGTGGTTGAATGACTTCTTAGAGAAGCCCAGTGACTCAAATTCCTCTTCAAAACTATAAAACTTCGAGAGCTGAGTGCTAATTAAAGCACTTCACGACGTTGGATGGTGTTAACAAATTAGATAGATGGTGTAATAAATTTGTTAAGCACAGTACATCAGTTCTAAATATCTGCCTTTTTTTATTTTTTTTATTTCTAATAATCGGCTTTGGTATCGGCCTTGAAAAACCGGTCGATCTCCATCACAAAGCCATTATTTTGTCATATTTGCACACTGTATTCAAATTAACACCTGGAACAGGTGGGTGTGGCACACAGGTGATCCTTCCCTCCCTCTGGACTCCAGCTCCATGGTGATGAGCTGTTACTCAGCTGCTCTGGTCACACCCCCCTCCTCCCCTCCTCCTCCCCTCTCAGTCCTCGCTTATAACCAACCGGCAGCCCTAAAATAAGAGAATGCTGAAAAAGTCCCCTCGCAGGCTCTTTTACGTGCTCCGACAAAGCCACAGGAAGCAGGCGACAGAGAGCATATTGTGGCGGCTTCTCTGCGCCACAGAACAATAATTTCAGTCTTGTGCTGGTTGTTGTCTGACAGTTGGCTCCCACAGGAACAGCCTCCATCACAGCAGCGAAGCCTCGCAGCTCGTCCTCGGATATCTCCTGTGAAAGGTAAGACCGGCTCAACTTTGACTTCAAGTTGTGTGAGAGTTTTTTTGTTTTTTATTTGAGTGGGGATAGTTTTTTTCTTCCAAGTGCCGTACCAACAAAGGGAGGGATCCATCCAACAATGATCCTTTGTCTCCTGAGACCTGCCTGCAATTATTCCGCTCAATGGCGTCCTTTGAGATTTGCCCGTCTGTGTTTTTGTTGGAAGTTGGTTAGTCAGAGGCCATTTAGACAAACAAATATAGACCACACGTCCGCTGACATTTAACACATGCAGCAGAGTGTTAAATGTGCCGCCTCCGAGCGAGACTTTCTGCTTGTTTTGTTGGTAGACTTTCTGCCAGTGGCTCCCTTTTTTTTTGCAGATTTGCATGTGACTCCGGCTTGTTAATACATCACCGGGCTGACTCCTCGGTGTCAGGGTGCAGCCGTTGACCACGAGGAAGTGGGAAAATCTCGGGAGGGGGAGTGACACGGGAGTTTGAGGGAGTCAAGGCAACTGCTCATTTCACGGCATCCTGGCCGGCCCCCCCTCCAGTGGATGATTAACTTGACGACATCCAGCTTTTTAACAGGGCGACTGACATGAAGTGACGAACCACTTCCTGAGCGTGGTTCATTTGAGCGGATATCTGGAGGTGTCAGTGAATGAAAACACCCGTTTTACTGCAGTCAAACAGGCAGAATTAAATCATGGAGAGCAGAGGCCACGAGGGAGATCCCGGCTCTAAAAAAGCGGCCTGTTGCTGCTCACAATGGGGTTTCTGCTCGGGCATTGTCGTTAACAATTTGTCTGTTTTGTCATCCACACAAAGGGCACTGTTCCCCTTCTGGGAGGTCCACACACACACATCTTGAAGAGGCCGTGGATGGTGTGAAAAGAGGGGGTGGGAGGAGAAGATGCAGAGATAGGATGCTGTTGTTTGTCAGGTGATGAGGATGTTGTGGATTTATGTGCCGCATACATAGAGGTAGTTATTGTGTTGTGTTGTCGTGCCTCAGTTCACCTTTGGTGTTAAACTTCCCACTTTGTTTTCCATGCAAATGCACACACTGGAGCCTCTGTCGAGTCCGTATCAGAGTCATCTTGTTTGAATTTAAAAAGAAAATTATTTTAAAAAACGAGCCGACGGCCGTGTTGCAACTCCCGTATTCGTCTGCCTCCCTCATTTGCATACCACCTGCTTTTCATTTGTGAAACTTTCCTCGAAAAAAAGCGCAGCAAGCTTCCTCATTTGTCGCCTCGCAAAAAGCACTCACCCAGAGTTCCACAGAGGTGACACGAGCACCGCGTAAAACGTCCTTGGAGTGGCTGATGAAAGGCGCAGGGCTCTCCGAGTGTTTGACGAAGATAAGTCATTCAGCCTTCAGAGGGTAAAAGGTGAGGAGTTGGGAAAATTGCAGGTGCTTTCCCCTCCCCTCGCGGAGGAAGCGGTGCTGTTAATTTGTCACCTAATTTGCACTGCGGCATGATGTAGTGAAACTCAGAGCAACACATCAGCCAGATGATTGATGCTGGGCACACAAATGACTCCTACGTGAGCACAGAAGTGTTGTTGAGTTGACATTGCTGGCGTCGAGAGTCCCTGAGTGTATCAGAGGGGCGGTAATGTGTCGCTGGCATTCATATGTTGGCTCAAAATACGCCCGACTAATGTCTTTTTTCTGTTTTTTCTCTCCCCAACTATAGGTAGAACTTTCAGCAGCAATCATGGGGTGCTTTGGTTTCCTCAAGGGCATGATGTTCGTTTTCAATGGCATCATCTTCGTAAGTCAAGACTTTTTGATGGGAAATCCCGACTTCACTGAGTTTTACAGTTTGTGCATCAACAGTATCGTCACAACTGGACTCGCTTGAGTTCCTTGAAGACGTTCCACCTCTCATCCAAGAGGCTTCATCAGTTCTGACTGAGTTCCAGATACTTATATCCTAAAGGATCCATCCTTAAGCGTATGTCACCAAGGACAAGTCATTAACACCTGAGTTTCGATAAAGTAATGGCTCCTTAAGGATAGAAGTATCTGGAACTCCCAACTAGTCAGTCAGAACTGATGAAGCCTCTTGGATGAGAGGTGGAACGTCTTCAAGGAACTCAAGCAAGTCCAGTTGCTTCGATTAATCCACGAGAATAACCACGACCTGGACGACTGAGAGTCTTCTCAGACATTCAGCCCACAGGTGCAACTTCTAAAGACTGACATGAAGAATCATGCAATCAGTTAATTTGTTCTTCTCTTTGTTGTCTTCACTCATACATTGACCGTTATGTTATCTTAGAAAGCAGTACACTTTCTATCCATGGTCGTTCTGAGACTCAGAAATGACTCATTCATGCTTTTTTTACAACACCAGCATGAAGCAAACTTAAATGGATGTTATTTAAACAGGAAATTGGTGTTGCATTTTCCCGTAATGGTGTTAGACGAGTGAAAAACATAAAAAGAAAGAAAGAAAGAACGTTGAAGCAGCAGTAGATGAGAACTCCTGACAATGAGATCATAAAATGGATCACACTTCAACAACGCTGGATCCTACAGTTCCTACAGTGCAGCTCGACCCTCCGTTCCTGTTAATGGTCTACTTACAGACTACATACCACTCCCCAGTAAACTGGCCTTTAGTTATGAAACAACTGAAGTGCTCCATTAATCGTGAAGCTTTTCTTCTCCCTCCGTCAGTTGGCAGGTGCGGCCATCCTGGGCGTGGGCATCTGGGTGAAGGTGGACAGCGGCTCCATCCTCAGCTTTCTTGGGAAAATAGACAACGCGCCGGCGGAGCTCAGTCAGGTGCTGAATGTCGGCTACCTGCTGATAGCCATAGGGGCGCTGCTGGTCGTCATCGGCTTCCTGGGCTGCTGTGGAGCCGTCAAAGAGAGCAAGTGTATGCTGCTGCTGGTAGGTTGACGGCTGCTGGCGGGTTAAAGGAACAATTTGCATGTTTGATATCATTTGTTTTCAGGTTGTTTTATCTCTTCATCTGGAGGTACAGCGAGTTTTTGTACTATAACGCGGAAATGTGTTTAGATATGAGGAAGCTGGTCCTGTAGAGTGAAGCCGGTGGGAGTTTGGTTCCTAATAAGACATAAAGTCCTCTGGAAATGTCTATTAGGAAACTATGGGGGCTCTAAAACGTTGGCGATGTACTGTTTTTGCCATGCACCTTGTTTTTGTGTTGGCTACATGTGGGTCATGTGTAAAATGAGGTGACTGCACCTCAGTTGAATCAACCACCATCCAAAAAATGATCCAATCCATGACTCAAAAGCGGTGATCCGACCAGAACCATCAGTTTCATCGCACCCCCAACATTTCCTGATGTACAGTTAATGGGTCACCAATTCACTTTATGTTAGTTATATACTAACCTGGCTTTCCTTTTAAACTTTGTAAAACAGAAATAAAATAGTCAACTAATGCATCAATCATAACACTCAGGACGACGAGGATGCACAGTCGTGACTTGATAATCCGACCCTTAACAATCCTAAACCTTGCTATCCAACAGGTTTTTAGGAAAAACGAACGGAACCCATAAAAACAGCCTTAACATAGCGACAGCCTTGGATTCTGACTCCAACATGACATTTTATGTCACCAATCAGGATAACGGCGTATTATCTGACTGAACAATCCCACAGATTGGCTACGTTCACACTGCAGGACTTAATGCTCAATGAGGATTTTTTGGGAGTTCGTTCACATTTCCAATTAAATGTGGAGCGTATCCGCCGCCGCCGCCGCCACCGATGGTGGAAACAGAACTGGGACCACTATTCTAAACTGGCATGTGTGTTCCGGCCACTTCCACCTCTTCAGAGCACTTCCCCAGGGTGGAAGTGGCCAGAACATGCACAAGCGCACCGGTCAATTAGGCGATGTGTAGTGTTCTAACAATACACTAGTTATTATAACAACTATAAACAATGAATATTAACAACTAATGAGCCTTCCAGCATCAAGCCCTCCTTGTATCTGGACCTCCGTCTTGACAATCCGACAGCCTTGCTATCCGACACGAAAGAAGGTTTTACATTTAGTGTCGGATTATCGAGTCACAACTGTACTTATTACCGTAATTTCTGGACTATTGAGCGCACCTGAATATAAGCCGCACTTGTCTATAAGTCGCAGGTGTTCCAACATGAGATATTTACACAGAAAGATTTTTTAAACTTTTAATTAGATACGTACTGGTAACACACACAAATACGTGCCGTAGATGCTTCTTTTCCGAACACTGCCTGTAACACAGCTAGTTAAAAAGATAAAAACTACAGCAACCTACCAGAAAAAGTCATTGATCGCTATCTTCATCTTCCTCCTGCACTAAAACCACTAAAGTCGTCTTTAATGTCGGAGTTGAACAGCCTTAGAATTCCTTCGTCACACATCTCTCTTTCGTTGTCGCTCTCAGTGTCACGTTCGTCTCGAGGCAAATTCGTAAAAATCCATTATTTAGCCGCGTCATTGTTTAAGCCACAGTGTTCAAAGCGAGTGAAAGAAGTAGCGGCTTATAGTCCAGAGTTTACGGTACCCACAAAAGCTGGTTTTCATCTGATCATTCCTAAGCTGGAAATATCCAATCAAGCAGAAACTAATACTATCAATGCATCAGACTGAACTTCATCACAAATCTGAGGTCAGAGTTATTCTGTCGTTGTCCACATGGTGTAAATTTCTTCACCTGCTTCAGAGCCCACGAGGCAATGACACTGCAAGGACAGCGGTGCACGTGGTCTGAACTCATAGAAGCCGATCTACTGCGCATGTATGAACGGAGTCCTCCAAACGGGCTACAAAAGTAGTGTGATTACATGTCCGTGGGGTCCTCAGCTGTCTGCAAGGGAGCTGAATCAAGGCTTATCACGGCCATAAGTGCATCGTGTCTGTCTGTTAGAGATAACGTTCATATTTGTTGTGTAAGTGTATTTATGTACGAGACTAGCCTGGCTGGATCCGCTTCAGTAGTCCTGCTCAAACCTCATGCAGGCGAACTTGAAACCTCGAGTCAGGTGTGAACAAATAAACCAAGCGCTCATTTTCCACTTCTCCGTAATTATCACACGACACTGAGAAAACAGAAGTCGTTTCTTCTGATAAACCAACTTGTTCTCTTGAGATAACGACGGTTAAACAAAACCCCGCGCCGCTCTCGACTTCTGTATTTTAGAAAATATGGGGCAACTGTTTTGCTACGACTCAGATGAGGATAAGACTTTCCTGTCTGCCTGGTTAATGTTAAGATGCAGCTAGCAGCTGGTTAGCTTATGCTAAGTAGGAAAACCAGAGCAAAGGAGTTTCTTCTTGCTTGAATTTACCTTAAACGGATAAAATCTTAACTGCATAATATTTTAGAAATGCTTTAGTCACGTTTGTAAGTTGTTATATTTGTTTGTTCCTTAAATTTTGTTGAGACTTCTTTAGCGCATAAGCTAGCTTTGAGAGTTCTGCACATTGAGATGACGTTTTGTTCACATAAACAGATAAATACAACATACAGTACTAATTAGTGAAATTTAAATGCGTTTTTAGGAAATGTTTTTGGATGGGCTCACTGGTTTCCCCCGCTAATATAAAAACACTGCGCTACGCTAAGCTAAGCTAAGCTAGCAGGCTGCTCATGTTGCAGCCTGTTTACAGTGTGTATGATGTTGGTATCACTCTACTCATCTCATTTTTTGCTAAAAAAAAGAGTATAAATGTAAAAGCTAGGTTATTATTTTAAAGCCACAATCACAAGTTTAGTTTCATAATTCTGCAGAATGATGAAAAACAAATAAAAATGTTTTTTTTTCCTCTAGTTTTTCATCATAGTCCTGCTGGTCTTCATAGCGGAGGTAGCCGGCGCTGTGGTGATTTTGGTTTTCAGGCCGTTGGTAAGTTATTAAAGAACACATTATGAGCGGTAACAGGATATTAGCAGCTGTGATTGTTAAAAAAAAATCATCTGTATTCTTGCATTTTAGGCAGACGAACTGTTCGTCAAGGTCGGCGAAGCAGCAGTTAAGAACATCAGGAAGGACTACGGCAAAAATGCCGATGTTACGGGACTGTGGAATACCACGATGAGCACGGTACGTGATCATCATCGTAAGTGACAGAATGCATCTTTCTCGCACCGTTTCACTAACGCTCTCTGTTTCATATCCTCCGCTCCAGTTAAAATGTTGTGGGTTCTACAACGCGTCAGACTTTGTTGGATCTCCGTATTACAACAACAACAACATGCAATTCCCGCCGCAGTGCTGTCCGGGCGCCAAAACCCCGTGTGATCAAATGTCAGCCAACAACAGCACGGCAAGTACAAGAAACAGTAAAAGCATCCGTGTGCATGATCCAAAACCGTAGTAAAAGTTTATTCTGCCTCTACTTTATCGTTCAGACAATCACCGGTTGCTTCCCGAAGATCAAGCAGCTGGTTGACGAGAACACGGTGGTCATCGTGGGCGTGGCGCTGGGCATCGCCGCTCTGGAGGTACGATAGGTGAACTGCAGGTAGTGGAAAACTGTTTTTTAATTGCATGTTTTACTCATATGCATTTCCCCCCCTCAGGTCTGTGCAATGATCGTCTCAATGGTCCTCTACTGCAGAATAAAATCCACGTTGGCCTGAATGCAAACCGCCTCGGAAGGATCCCTTTAATCACCGGAGTCTTTCTACTTCCTGTGTCGCCTCCTATAATTGCCTCACGTCAGGTCTCGTGCAATCAGAATTACCGAACGACATAACAAATCTATTTTTGCTACCTTTAAATCTAATAGATTACCATTTATGAATGTATCTTCTTATCTTATTTCTTACGAACACGTCTGTTTATAAACCTGGCTACTGTGTTCTTCGCCAGTGATTCCTGTAAATGTCGTAAATGAGTGTCGCTGTCTCCGACGCGCGACCAGCTGACGCGGAATTACACGAAAAGGTTCGATGTAATGATGAAACGGAGGCTGGCGTCGATGTCGGAGACGGGATCCACGACTGTGAATGTTTTCGATGCATCTTGTAAAATAGAAACAGAAGTGATGCGTTATTTGTTTGTAAGTTGTTTGTACGGTGATGGGTTTTGAAATAAAGTCCAGATTTTCAGGTCTGTATTTACAGTATTTCTCGATGGGAACGAAGCAGCAAGGTGCAGGTAAAAAAAATAATCTGTTTCCTCATTTATCACTTGAGAAAGCAAACAAGTCGACGGGAGTTTAGGTTGAGCTGGTTAGACGCCATTTATCCGGAACTATGAAATAAAACTGTAAGCTTTAATGTGTAACTTGGCCAAATGTTATCTTTGTTTTTAGATAAGGGGGCTTTTTGCCTGTGAGTCAGCCGACATGACTGCACTAATAGATGCCGGTAAGAAAGCTGCAAATTATCAACTGGTGTTGCATTAATTTGGACTCTGGTTTCATTACGCACTTAAAGTGCGGAAAGAAACTTCCCCCTGCAGGATGAGGCCTGATCTTTGGAATGTGCTGGTTAATGTAAGTACAGTGCACGAGTTAAAATGTCTACGAGTCACGCTTTGGGATGAGGCTGGCAGGCATCACTAGTTCATCACCTAAATCAAGAGCTTTCTACCGGTAAAACAAAATAAATGATAATATATTTAATTTAAACACATAAAATGGTCCAAACTCCAGTGATGTGAAAATGTAGCTTGACAAATGTATGTGAATATCTCTTATAGAGGTAGAAACAGTCTATCCAGGTACACAAAGAGCACAAAGAAAGTGCTTTTAATCATGTGAAATGTTAAATTACTCATTAGGAGAGATTTAAAGTCCCTCTCTGGGCGTTAATTACACCCCTAAAAACTCATCTCTGTGGATCAAAGTTGCGTATTTATAGGTTTTAGAACTCTATGTTGAAGTATTTCCGTCCACCACTCCTCACTTGCTGCAGCTCGAGCACTTTGAAACTACTCAGTGGCAACTTGAGTAATTCAGCCCTACATGTTTAACCCAAGGGCTGCAGGGTGACTCGGTGGTTAGCACTGTTGCCTCGCAGCAAGAAGGTTGCCGGTTCGCGTCCCGGTGAGGACACCCGGGATCTTTCTGCGTGGAGTCTCCATGTTCTCCCCGTGCAGCGTGGGTTCTCTCCGGGTTCTCCGGCTTCCTCCCACAGTCCAAAAACATGTTGAGGTTAATTGGTGATTGTAAATTGTCCGTAGGTGTGAATGTGAGTGTGCTTGGTTGTCTGTCTCTAAGTGTAGCCCTGTGATAGACTGGTTACCTGTCCAGGTGAACCTGTCTTCACCCTGAGTCAGCTGGGATAGACTCCAGCCCCCCATGACCCTGGTGAGGATTAAGTGGTGTGTAGATAGTTGATGGATGGATAATATGGGAGGAGAAGCGTGACTCCTTCGGGATGTTGTGGCGGCCGTCCTCCACCTGAGGGTGCAGCAGATCAAGAAAGGGAGACGATCAGTTTCTCAAACATGAACCAGCTCGTCTGCAGCACGACTGACTGTTAAACCTCATGCAAGCAGGTGGTTCTGAGCAACCGGAAAATGTTCACACTGATTCTGTTGCAAAAGATTATACAGACAATGCATCTGTTTTATATGTAAAGAAGGAGTGGGTTTGTAGTTTTAGCAGCTGTGGATTTATTCAAAGCTCTTGTAGAGAATCTTCAGGACTTTAGGGATGAAACCTGCTTTCAAGATCTCAGAACAAACTGCTGACCAGCTATATGAGGCTACAGTAAGGAGTAGATGATTATGGACCACTGATGCATATCTGCTTGTATGAATCTATATTTCAGCTAAACTTTATTTTAATGTTAATATGTTTAATGTTAATATCTGGAGATCTGAGGAAGCTTTATTGTACACTGACAGGCTGGTGATGTCTTTTGAAGAGCTTCTGAAAAGCATTTCTCACCGCAGACATTTGGCTTGTCATCGTAAGAAAAGCAGAAGGGCTGCTGCAGACTTGACAGGGTGATGATAGAGTCACTGAGCCCAGTCTGTGAAACAGTGACGATGCACAAATGAACTGCAATTATTTTATTTTTTAAAGTAAAGAAAGTCAGTTGGAGGACAAAAATGTGATATTTTAAGTAACTGCTGGAACTTTACATGCTGAAATATTTTGAAGCACCACAAAGCATCTACAATCAACCTCACATGTATTCCTACCCTCCCATTAAAGAGGAAAAAACATCTGAAATAAGTTGAACTTGACAAAAGTAATAATAAATAAAAATGTAATGAACATCATGACATTGCTTTTGAATTGTGGTTCAACATCCAAAACAAAACAAAACAAAACAAAACAAAACAAAACAAAACAAAACAAAACAAAACAAAAACAAGCATGATGGGACCCCTACACTAATATTTTGCTAAACAACCCTTTGAGCCAATCAGGTGTTTTCTGTAACTCTCAGTCAGACTTCTGCACCTGTTGACAGTTATTCTGATTTCACTGCTCATCAGTAAAGTGCTCTCATTTGGACCGATTTTTTATTTTTTTAAATTATTCTTTTCAACCACAATTCAAAAGCAACATCTTATTTCACTAAATTATAATTTAACAAATTTTTATTTATTATTACTTTTCTCAGTTTCTAGTTATTTGAGTGACTATTGTGAATTTTGCCTTTTCTTTAATGGAAGGGGATGAATAAATTTGAGGACGACTGTATGTTTGGTACAAATATGAAAACAGCGCCCTCAAGTGGCACCTCTGTGGAGTTACACATAAAACTGAGAGATGCCAATCTACTCACTTCTTCTCTATTGAGCAATTAATTAGTCAATAAATTCTAATAATAACAATAATAAACTTTCTCTGCCCTCCAAATCTAGCAAGAGTTTATTATTTACTTCCCCTAAAGTTAAATAAATCTTCATCCTTCCACGCTTTATTGTTCACTTCAGTGTTTGTGGACAAAATAAACACAATAAAAAGTTGTGCAGTTTGATTCCAGCAAACTTTTCCTGCAATTAGTCCAGATCCAAGCTGAGCAGGAGCAGCAACACCTGCTGCGCTGTAATGAGTGCGTGGCAGTGGTGCCACAGAGGAGGAGTCTGCGCTCCCCCGTTGCGCAATGCGCTCACTCGGACTCGTCGGATCCGCAGATGAGCGCATACCTTCACCTCTGCGCTTCTGTTCACTTTGCCTCGAATTCAACCGACGGGTGAAAAAGCGTTTGCAGCTTTAATGCCACCGTCTCTGCCTCTGATCTGCTCTGACTGTTTGGTTTCACAGCGGAAGCTCTTCGATGCGTGTTGACGCGCTGCTGAGCTCCTAACAGGTGTTTCTTTTGGGGGGAGCAACGCCGCCCTGAGAGGGAACATGTCCAATGGGAAAGACGCGAATGCTGCTGAGAAGTGAGTACTGACGACTGAATATCACGAAAAAAGTTAGATTTTGTCCTCTAAGTGTCGGTATCTGTGCCAGGTTAGCGGGTTTTGCGCTGGAAAATGTGACAAACTTTTGCGCAAAATAGAAATTATTCGCCTTTGTTTGCACAAGGACACGTGAAAAAGCTCTTTCTGTCCTCATTTTCTTGGATGTCTTGTAGTTTACTTTTCTTAAAATGAAAATAAAAGCAGATTGTTGCTGCACCAGGAAGGAGGCTGGTGCAGCTGCATCCTGGAAAATGAAACTGCTTCTACGTTTCAGATCAGTTTTGATGCTTTGTTTTCGTCTAATTTGTTAAAATCACATCACATCAGCGTAATGTTTAGAGGAAAGACACTGAAGGAAATGTTTTGCATCCATGAAAATGTGTTCCTGAGCTTCAGCCCTCAAACTTCACGTCAATTCCTGCATGTTTATGTTTCTGCTGCTCCCAGAATTAACGCACAACTTGCAGTTCTTATCAGCAAGTTTCCAAAAAATTAATGCACGCTGACAGAAATAATAGTCAGGTATTGAATTAAAAATACAAAACTAAGACACAAGAAGTATCTGGAGGCTCAAGATACCAACACTTCAATGTGGCAGCCTCTTCACAGTGAGGTTTAGGCAAAATAAAATACAAACGCACAGATAATTCCTCAATTTTATATCATTTAAGTTTCTTTTTTCAAATTTATTTTGTAGAAAAATTCAACAGTAAACAACACATTCTTAATATCCACAGTTTTACCCCTTTGGCTGCTGTGTATCTACACAAAGATGACAGATTTCTTCTTTTCTTTTTACCTTGTCAACATGTCCATATGGTGGTTTTATGTGCCGGGAGACACGTCACAAGCAAAACAAGCAGCCAACACTGTTGCTTCTACCTTTAAAACTGCACTGATGACAGTCTGAAAAACACAGATTCCGACGTCCGGGGTTTCTGACATCACAAACCTAAAGAACCAATCCCGTCGGCTTTCAGGGGAGAACTTCTGTCATCATCGTCCATCTTCAGAACTGCTTCCCGATCCAGTGGTGTAACGTCAGGGCTCCAGAATGGTTGAGAACAAAATTTTCAAGCGAGTGCATGATGATCATTTAGCCGTATTAGTGTCACAGGAAGCTGTCGTGTCAGCCACGGTGGTGGAATGACTTCAGTGTCATTTTATTAAGGACTAATGTGATGTGAGAACGCCCTAGTTTGCTCTTTTTGAGGTCATTTTTGGTCACATAGCCGTCTGATCACACCATCAGCAGTGACCGCAGCCTGCAGCGCGGGGCGTTCAGAGAACATCGGCAACTTGTAGCGTCTATGCATAAGAAAATGTTCAGCGAGTCGTATGTTTTGCCTGGTGGAAGGTGCAACCAAGTGAGATTACCAAGTGTTCTACAGTGCGGGTGAGCTGGTGTGCTCGAGCCTGCAGCGTGATCCGCACATCCTAGAGGAAGCAACGGAGTGGAGGAGGCAGGAAGTGGTTATTTTAATGGGAACAAAACTCTAAATATGTAAAGGTTTTGGGGATTTAATCGGCATCTTTAAAAGAAACAAACCTTTGGGATTTGGCGGCTTTTCTGTCTTGAAGGTTTTTCCTGGACGACGATGAGCCCATCCAACAGGTCACTGAGTGGTTCGATGAAAACAGAGTTATTGCTTTTAAAATCACCAGATTTAAACTTGACTGAGCCGACATGTTAGATCTCTCCACCGTTGTCATCAGAGCACCAAATGAGGGGAATTCCTTTTGGAAGAACCCTCCAGCAGAGTTCTAGAGACTTTGACAATCAATACCAGTGAGCACTACAGTTGACTAACACTTACTATCACCTGTCCATTTTTGCCCATTCCCTTGGTTTCTTTCCCTCTTTCCCTGAGTCCCCAGTGTCTCGTTCCAATTCAGCTTCTGCAATCGTGCTTTTGTTCATCATCTGTGTTCAGATGAACCACATCGTAAAGTTTTAAAGCCTGTAAGTTGGTAAACAGTGCGCTTGTTGGTTTGTCCTGAGCAGACAGGTTTACAGCCCGTCGTAGCTTTCTGCAGCATCACGCGACATCTGATTCACGCCTCGGCCCATTTGCATTTCGTTCTGTGTGTGTTTTTATGTTTGTGCAACAGCTCCTCTAAGATGACCCTGAACGAGTGCCTGGATGAGTGCATGGAGGCCTTGGATCTCTTCCTTAACAACCACTTCAACGAGAGCCTGGAGAGGCTGCGACCAAGGTAACGGAATAATCCTCGGCCGGGTTCGGCACATTTGCATTTCGTTCTGTGTGTGTTTTTGTGTTTGTGCAACAGCTCCTCTAAGATGACCCTGAACGAGTGCCTGGATGAGTGCATGGAGGCCTTGGATCTCTTCCTTAACAACCACTTCAACGAGAGCCTGGAGAGGCTGCGACCAAGGTAACGGAATAATCCTCGGCCGGGTTCGGCTCCACAGAGGCCGTTCACCGGCTCTGGAGCTTGTGGACTCGAGCGCACTTGGTCCGTTGTGTGTTTTTCAGCGTGATGTCAGCAGTGTTTTGCCTCCGGTGATGTTTAGCGACTTATGCGGTGTGAAGTGCAAAGACGGGGCCCTTCCTGTCAGCCTTCGGTTCTCCAGGATATGAAGTGTTTGCTGAAGCTGACGCCCAACGTCTGACTGATTCAACAGAATGTCGGCCCTGCAGAATAAACACCGGCGGAGCGCGATGGGAGAGGAGATAGAAAGAATAAAGAGATATTTAGCTCTTATCTGTTGGCTGCAGGGAAATGCGTAGGCCATACAGTAGCCACCTCGCAATGCATGTGTTTGCTTACAGTATGAAGGTTTATGATGTTGACCCTGCGGCTCCGTGTTTCCTATGTAGAGTGAATGAGAGTATGTACCACGCTCTTATCTACGCCACAGTGCTGGAAATGCAGGCCATGATGACTTTCCAGCACGATGACATCAGCAACGCGGGAAACACCATGAAGAGCGCCCAGGAGGTCTGTCAGAGGTCAGGGAGTCTCGATTATATATAATTCACCAGATTTAGTCATAAAAACGAGCCAGTCGCCGCGTCTTTTTTGCAGCACGTGTCGTTTTCGGTGCTGCTTTCTTCAGTCCACGAGCTTTAAGAGGCAAATTTTAACTGGTGCATTTAAATTTATGGCTCTTCATTGACCCAATTTGAGTGTGTTTGCATGAGAGAAGCCATAGTAGCAGCTGTTAACAGATGCATTCATATAGCGGATGGTTGGCACGTCAGAGAACATGTGGTTGCCGAAGCAGAAGTCTTGTTATTGAAGTATTGTCTGACGTTTTCAGGTTTCGACGGAAATCCCCAGGTTTGGGTAACAAGTCAGTCGGGGACTCACTTTCTGAAGGTAAAGAGGCTTGGATGTCTAATTTATGTGGGTTTAAATGAAAATGCATCCAAAATATGAAGTGCAGTGGGGAAAAATGTGTATTTTCTTTATTCCTGTGGATAGTTGGGGATAACGTACAAATTCATGAGTTTATTTAAACTTTAGGTTGGATTGCATTTTTTCTTTTCAAAATGTCAACTTCTGCTGTTAACTTCTCTGTATGGCTTCACATTGATGCTTATTTTAGACTCATTAACATGCAGCATGTAGTGAGAAAGCAGCTGCACTTGCACACTGTGGTGCATCGTTGAGATAAATGCTAACAGGGTCACAGATGTACAGTATGTATGTTTACCATTGTCTTAGTCTAGTGCTAGCATGCTAACATATGCTACTTAGCACTTGACACGAAATGTAGCGGAATTGCACCACTTAGACAAATTAGATATTGACGAAGCTGGTTTTCGACTGCAGGAACACACAGGCCATTTTCCGACTGCAACATCCGCCCCCTGTAGAACCTCTTTCTTGCTTTGTGGTGTAAACTATTGTGGTATTGTTAGCTGTGATTGGTTAAACTTAGAGGATAACGAGCACCTTTTTATCCCCCCCTGCAGTCCCCTTTTAAACGCCACTATCAACAGCGTAAAATTCCCCATATAGACCAACACAACAAACCCTCCTTTGTTCTATTTCCCTATGTGCTCATATAACCTGAGGTACGTCCAGGAACTGCTATTTACCGTCACTGGCAGCCTCATTGTCTTACGCAACCATGGAAATGCAAAGGCTGAAGGGGTCAATTACAGGGGTGTTTCTGTCAATGTTTGCACCACCTCATGCCCGCCCCGAGCCCCTTCAGTGGAGGTTTATAGATCTCCACCACAGGAGGTGGCCATTCAACAGCTGCGGGAATGATTTTCTGGATATTATGAATGTTCCAACAACATTTCATGGCAATCCATCTAAAGCCATTAAGACATTTGACAGTGTCCCTATAGCTCACCTGGTTGAGCTGGTGTCCCATGTATAGACCCAACGCAGCCATCATGGGTTCGAGTCTCGCTCATGTCCCTTTGCTGCAAGTCCCTCTCCCATTCTTCTCCCCCCACAGACCAAAGTGGTGGACTAGCAGGCCCATGTTGTATACCTAGAGCATGCTAGTGTGACTTAAAGATTGCATAAGCCTTATCTGCATTTTAGCGGTAATCGGAAAAGCTAAAGATTGGAAAACGAGAGTGGTACCAGTAGTAATCCCTGGGGAACACCAGGTATCAGTGCACAAACACAGACATGTCTTTTCTCCACATTGTTTATGTGTATTGGGTGAAACAATTTCATTGTTAGCATTTTAGCAGTAATCGGAAAAGCTAAAGATTGGAAAACGAGAGTGGTACCAGCACTAATCCCTGGGGAACACCAGCTATCTGTACACAAAGGCAGACATGTCTTTTCTCCACATTATTTATGTGTATTGAGTAAAACAATTTCCTCACTTGAACAAGCGGTATCTTATGAATCAGTTGGCTGACTTTTGTAGATGTAGTTTAAAGATAATGTAGACTATGTGTGTGCAAGTTCAGTCAAAGGAAAGAAAATCTAATCATTAAAGGGGAAGACAGGCGGAAGACAGAAAACTAAAGCATGTAGGGTTCACACGGGCAGCCCTTGTCTTGTAGATGAACCGTGGATTTGACGCTTCACTGCTTGTTGACTTTGCTCTTTGTGTGTTATTTACTACTTAACGTGTGTGTCTATGGATGTGTTTTTGCAGTGCAGCTCCACGCGGAAGTGTGTTACGCAGAGTGTCAACTCCAACGAGCCGCTCTCACCTTCCTACAGGTGCAGTAAGCCAATATGCTCACCTGATGCATGTGTACATTCAGAGTAACAGCACGGCCAGTTTCCGACCGATCCAGTTTTTCAAGAATGTGAAAGTTGTAGAAAACATCTAATGAGCACATGAAGCAGAAGATCTGTGGTGCTTGAGCTACATATGTTTTTAATTCTGCCCTTTTTTTTTTTTTGCAGGATGAGAGCATGGTGAGCTTCATCAAAGGAGGGATCAAAGTGCGAAACAGTTACCTGATTTACAAGTAAGTCATCGGTGACAAAACAAGGCTTGTATTAAGTGAATATCAGCAGCGTAATACATGCACTAAAAGAGTAAATTCTGCTGTTATTAAAGAGCCATTCCACCAAGTTTACAACTGAAGTTCATCCTGCTGATCGTTAGATGTTCTGCTCAGTCTGTGAAAAGCATCACAGAATGTTTTTTTTGTAATTTTGAAGGCAGCTTTCTCAAGAAAACTTCAACCCAATGATGTCATGATGAGGCTATGAGCATCATCTTAGTTTAGGTTTGGATAATCAGGCCCAATCTGAACTCTAAAACTGTCAACACCTGGTCAGTGACTGAGTGTGAGAGGTTGTTAAATGGAGCCGTTGAAATGGCATAAACAGGAATGAGACACTTTAACTGTCACTTCAAAACATGTTTCATGCGATTGTGTGTTATTTCATGTTTCCTACTTTTTTATGGCTGAGGCTCTTGGTATTGATCATTGGTCGGCTATGTGCTCACACGTACATGAAAACTTCTTGTTTCTTGTCACCTTAGTTTGCTGTGTTTGTTTGAAATGCTTCTGGGCTTTCTCTGGTCACCCTTCACCTGAGGGAGTTTATGATGTTAAAGTTAGAAAAAGTCTGCAGAAACGGTTACGAATGTCTGCGAGAGAGTCGAGGTGCAGTCGACCATTTGACTGCAAGCCGCATCTTTTTTTTTTAACTGTGTAGTTTGACGTGCAAGCAAACAACCGGGCAAATAAATAAATAAAGTGGCTTCATGGAAAGTGAATGCTGTATTTAGAGCTTGACCATAAATCCGACTCAGGATATCTCAGTCTGCTTTGATCTTGATCACTGTTTTTCAATTCTGAATCTCACAAGGTTTTTTTAATGAAAGTGTAACATGTCTGTGAAGGTTCTCAGTCATCCAGGTCATGGTTGTTCTGGTAGTTTAATCGTAGCAACTGGACTTGCTTGAGTTCCTTGAAGACGTTCCACCTCTCATCCAAGAGGCTTCATCAGGTCTGACTGACTAGTTGGGAGTTCCAGATATCCTTAAGGAGCCATTAACACCTGAGTGTTAATGAGTCTGAAAGTGTAACATTAATAACAGAAAATCCATCGAGCACTGACGGGCACATAGCGCCTCTCACACTACAAGTGTTGGAAAACATTACATAAACATAAACATGGCGTGTTTTACATGCAAGTTGTGGTCGTTTTTTAATTTTGCCAAGAGAATGTGTTTCATCCGAGCACTGTTTAATGAAAGACTGCACACAACAGTGTGTTGATTCCACCACAGGAGAGAATTTGTGCAGTTATGTGGACGAAATATGACCCTGCATTGAGAATGCAGATTTATTGTCAGGTATATAGTTAAACAATTAATATACAGTAAAATAAAGTAAGTAAAAAAAAAACACTGTAATTGTGCAAAGAATCAAAGTTAAATTTAAATAAGAACCACAGAACAGTAGTATTACTTATAAGAATATTGGGATGCTGATATGTTGATATTTACATTTATACAGATATAGAGGAGGCAGGGGGGTCAGTGGGGGTCCTGTGCCTCGTTCATGAGGCCGGTGGCAGACGGAAGGAAACTATTGTTGTGGTATGAGGTTCTGGTCCTGATGGACCAAAGCCTGCTGCCAGAGGGGAAAGAGTTTGTGTCCAGGGTGGGAGGGATCGGCCACAATCTTACCTGCACGCCTCAGAGTCCTTGAGAGAAGGCAGATTGCAGCCGATCACCTCCTCAGCCAAGCGGATGATACGCTGCAGTCTGGCCTCGTCCTTGGCTGTTGCTGCAGCGTACCAAATGGTGATAGAGGAGGTGAGGATGGACTCAATGATGGAGGTGTAGAAGTGCACCATCATTCTTCAGCTGCCGCAGGAAGTCCATCCTCTGTTGGTCTTTTTTGATGACAGAGCTGATGTTCAGCTCCTACTTGAGGTCCTGGGTGATGATGGTGTATCAGCTTTAACAATAAACCAAAATGAGTTGGAAAATATCAGCATATCGAGTTTCGGCAGATTTCTAGTTACGATGATGAGCTACGCTGTTCAACTACTTTCATTCTTTTCTCTAATCGTCCAGAGAGCTGCACTCCTTCATCAAATCCCAGCGCTTTGTCAAAGGACCCAGCCACTGTCACTTAGAAGGAGGGATATCATTTGGGATGGGGGCGTTTAACCTGGTAGGCCTCTCCATCCGTACTTACACACTGCTGGTCGTCTGCATGTATTTATCAGGTCTTCTTTACTTACAGACACTTTCTCTGTTTCCTCCACGGATACTCAAAGTTTTGGAATTCGCAGGCTTCTCCGGAGACAAGGTGCGACCAGTATTTCTAACACACTTCCTCCGTCTTACATTCATTAACCGACGCCCTCATTAACGTTTCCTACGCCTGTGATTCCTGTTTCAGGAGTACGGTCTGTCCCTCCTGTGTGACGGCGCCACGGCGATGAACCTGCGCTCCATGCTGTGTGCTCTGCTGCTGCTCTGCTTCTACACCTTCCTCACCTTCATCCTCGGTACCCGCTTCATCCGGATTCTGATTCTATCTATTCACTGAATTACTCACTCACAGGAAGATGTTTCTGTTCTCTCCTCTCAGGGACGGGCGAGGGAGACGTGAGCGAAGCCGACAGATTGCTGAAACCTTTCCGGCTGCGCTACCCACGAGTGAGTGACGTCATTAATACTCAGAATAAGACATTTTTAAGTATAAACCAGAGACGAATTAGCTCCTGCAGACTAATTAGGTACACATCTATACACACAGTCAACATTTTCTAGCATTCAACAACAACAACAACAAAAAAACTTGTTTGCAGTCGGAGTTGTCACCAGTTTGAGCCGCTTGTTCTTTGTGGTTTTGATCTGAGAGGAAAATGCTTTATGGACCACAGCAGAGGACAAGTGGCAAGAGACGAGAGTCGTGTCCAGCTTTCTGAATAAATGCTCGCAAACTGAAACTGTTGGAATTTAAACTACAGGCTGGAAGGTTTCTTATGACAAATGAGTGTATTTGGAGCAGAACATATTGACCTCTTCTGGTTCTGTTTTGCCCATCAGCAGTACTTAAGGTTTATGATACTATTTCCACTGGGGTTAGAGTAAAATCTCTGTTTTTTTAGAACTTTGATCTTATGAATTTATAATAAATTTGATCATTTTATTGTAACTGGACCTGCAGCTATGACTTGAGTTTGGGAGAAAATGAATCAGCAGCCATTTTTGTTGTCAAATCATGTTTTTTATTAATTTATTAAAAGCAAAAATGCCAAAAAGTGCTGGTTCCAGCTTAAAAACATGCAAGGCTTTTATGTTTTTAGGACTTTACGTTAAGCTGAAAATCTGAGATGGTTGGTCAACGGTGCGAAAACATAACCGGCATTTATTTTCTGTAAATCGTGAAGTGAGAAAACGATCTGTAGCATAATCGATAATGAAAATAATCATAGGTTTGGCTGTAATTGTGGTTGCTGTAGTCTGTGAATGAAGATATGATACAAAAAAAAGAAGTAAATGGGGTCATTTGATCACACTTGGACCGTTCCTGCCGTCGTCGTGGTTCCTCTTCGTCTCTTCCCATTTGAACCTCTGACTTTTTCACATCATTGTTCGTTTAATCTTTCCATCTCCGCACCATCATTGCTGCACTCGCTCCTTGCTTCTCCTTTCTTTCTGTCGTCCATCCACACCCTGATTCATCTGAGCCTCACTCCACCTTCCACTCCGTCTTTACAGCCATCTTTCCCCTCGTTCTACACACCTTCTTGCTATCACCTGACTCACATTCTTATAAGTTCTCAGCCCTGTGTTTCCACTCCACCTTTCGCCCACATGCCAGCCCATCCCAGAGAACAAACTGGGAGCTGTGTGTGCTGAAGCAGAATGGTCAAACACCGCCGTGAGTGATTGTTGAACGATGTGTGATTGCAGATAGATGAAAGCTGAGCACAGAGCAAACTGCAGGCGGAAATTACGTTTTACCAATTGTGTGGTTTTTTTCTGTCCAGGGAGCCATTTTCCTTTTCTTTGCCGGCAGAATTGAGGAGATCAAGGGGAACATTGATGAGGTGCGTTTCAGAGGATGTGTGTGATAGACGTTTGAGCGTCACTGTTCTGCGTCCTTCTGATTCTGCTGCTCGGTGGCCTTTCCCTGTGTTTCCCAGGCGGTGGCGCTCTTCGAGGACGGCTGCAAGGCCCAGCAGACGTGGAAGCAGTTTCACCACATGTGCTACTGGGAGCTGATGTGGTGCTTCACCTACAAGCGTTCCTGGAAGATGGCGTACTTCTACGCAGACCTGCTGAGCCAAGAGAGCCGCTGGTCCAAGGTACGAGACTCGTGTGTCATGTGGAAACATCCGGAGAAATAAATCAATCAAACCTGCCTGTGTTGTGTTTGTTTTTTTTAGGCCATGTATGTGTACATGAAAGCTGCTTACCTCAGCATGCTTCCTGAGGAGGAGGCCAGGCCTTTTGGGGAGAACGAGGTGGAGCTCTTTAGGTAAATACCGTTAATTGTTATAAATATTGACAAACTGTCTGTGACGTCACCCACAGGCTCCGGAGTTTGACTACCAGCTGATCCAGAAACAATCAGAGAGGTTGCAAACACGTCTGGGTCATTAACCCGCCCGCCGCTCAAAGCTGCCACACCCACAATGATGCAAACTTTAAGTCTTGATATAATTTAAACGGGATAGTTGTGTAAACACCTTGTGCAGTTGTCACAAACTGAGAAATGAACTATACAGACAAAAGCTGCTTTTTGTATCGGGCTGTACACGTGTTTATTTCTGCTGTAAAGTTTTAACACTGGGCTTTATGGGGATTGACTCACTTTTGGAGGCAGCCTCAAGTGGATGTTTGAGGAACTGCATGTCTGTGAAGATTCTCCAGGTCATGGTTGTTCTCGTGGATTAATCGTAGCAACTGCTTGAGTTCCATGTAGACGTTCCACCTCTCATCCAAGAGGCTTCATCAGTTCTGACTGACTAGTTGGGAGTTCCAGATACTTATATCCTTAAGGAGCCATTAACACCTGAGTTTCAATTGGGGGTTTGTTGCTCCTCCCCCTCATTATGTGAGTCGTTAGTGCTCCCCTCTGCCACAATGGGGTTCGTTAGGGTCTTTTGTGGCTAACTGCATGGTTCTGGGCACTTTCTTAAAGGTAAAATGTGTCACAACATAATAAATGCAGCATTAAAGACGCCAACTATTCATGTTCTCCAGAGATAAAGGAGCTTGTTTGGTACAGATTGCAGCCAAAGTTGCAATAACTGTAAAACTGTTTTTGTCTTTGCACGTTCAGGTGTTGCCTTGGAGGCTGCACACTGGTAAAGATGCAATTCCTGCCTGATGCTAAACATTGAATTTTACACAAACTAAACATGATGCTTACTGAAGTGGTGTTAAAAATAAAACAGCAGCTGTGCCGCTGCAGATTGCGAAACCTTTCGGTCTTGTGGTTTGTTCTGCTGCTGGCATTACTTTACATACCGATACGTTGTCTCCGCTGGTCATCGGCTCAGTTGCAGATTGTAAACAGTGTTCATTTGTTAGAACTGAGGCGTCAGAGGAACACATGATGCAGCAGATAGACATCATGAGTGCACTTTCAAAGCTGCTCTGGACAATATTACTGTATTTAATATGAATCAAATCACTGTGTTTATTGTTTAAAGAGAGAAACACCCCTCAGCTGAAGTCTTCAGGTGAAACTTTACTGTTTTGATCAGCGTCGCTTTCAGCTGGTGGTGCATTTAGCTGCTTAAATTGACAGATACTTTCATCCAGAACATGACGGAGACCAAAAATAGAGCAAAAATAAGAGTTAATATTGTGGCGTATGTATTCAAATGTTTGCTAACAGGCTTCATCAGGTGATGTTATGTCACTTCTGTGTTACGTTCTTGTTGTGTTTCGTAAAAAAAAAGTCAGTTAATGCAAGTTTATCAGACATCTTGGTGTTTTTCTTCTCCTGTGTCTTTAGACAAGTTCCCACCTTAAAGCAGAAGATTGCAGGGAAGTCTCCTCCGACTGAGAAGTTTGCTATCCGTAAAGCCAGACGCTACAAGGCCGCCTCCCCGGTCAGGCTACCGGTACCAGTGCTGGTAAAATAATAATAATAATACAAAACCAACACACGTGCATCATATTTGACTGAGAGTCCTCCAACAGCGTGAACTGCTTTATTACAGGAGATGATGTACATGTGGAACGGCTTCAGCATGATCAGCAAAAGACCAGAGCTGACTGAAGGCATGATGCAGACGCTAGTAGAGGCAGAGCGCGCTCTACTGGAGTCTCCTGGTAATGCAGCTTTTCTTAAGAAACCACAAAAACGCTCTTTACGTTGTTTTATACGGCGTCTGCGTCGTCCTCTGCAGAAAACGAGTACACGGTGGACGACCGCTGTTTGATCCACATGCTGAAGGGCCTGTGCTTGAAGAACCAGGGTCTCCTGCAGGCGGCCGAGGAATGCTTCAACAAAGTGTGTTCCAGGTGAGTTCTGAGTCGCTTCCCGCTCACGACGGAGTCCGTTAATTATGGAATAGTGAGAGCGGCAAAATACAAAAATAAATCAATGAAATAATAATAAAATAAAAGTGGAAATAAAAAGAAGAAGAAATAAAATAGAAAAGGAATAATGTGGCAATATTAATCAAACATGAATCCATAAAAGAAAAGGCTAATAAAATAGAAATATAAAGACAAATAAATGAAATAATAAAAATACTAACAATTTATTTATATATTTTTTCATTTTTAAAATTTATTTATTCATTTAGATTATTTAATGATTTTTATTTTTTAATTTTATTTTTTATATATATTTTTTAAAATTATTTTAAAATGTTTTTTTTATTTTTATTTTTTAATTGATTGATTTTTATTTTTTTATAATGTTGCTTCAAAAGCAAAGGCACGACATTCCTACTGCGCACATATTTCTGCGCATATTTCCTTTGCTTTTTAAGTGACATTTAAGAAGCTCTTTAAAAGCAAAAAAAAATAAAATAAAAATAAAAATGAAAAAATAAATTAATCGGGCAAAAGTACATTTTACATTCTTTGCTCTCACCAGCATTACATTTTATTTTGAAACACCATTTTCCTTGTCTATACCTCCTTTAGTTTCCTCCTGAACTAAATCCAGTGGTAGTGAATTCCACCTGACCGTGGTTCTGTACGTTACTGTTCTCTGCGTTGTACTTGTTGGTGCTTTAGGTTGAACAAACCGTCGTCGTGCTACGAATCATGTTCGATGATCACGTTGAGCAAACTGAGAAAACAGCCTTTCATGTCTGTGGAGATCTCCAAAGATGTTACATGAAAGGCTATTTTCTCATTTCAAATTTCACTTTTCTTAATGAGAAAAATAAAACAGGCTTTAAACATGTTTGCTTTCATGGAGTCTGTAGCTGCAGTATTTCTACACGTCTGCTGTTTCCAGCAGATCCAACAGAACCGTGTCTGTTCAGCAAACATAAAACACTCATAACTCAGTCATGTGGCGACTATTTGCATGGTGATCCAGGACGATGTTGCTTCTTGTTGGAATTACACTGACATCACCCTCGACTTGTGACAGACGTTTGTTTGTTCGCTGATTTAGTGGAAACAAGACTCTGCTGCTCATACAGTCCGTTACACGTTCACTGCAGTGCTGGATCCTGAACCTTCTTTCTGTGTGTGTTCAGTGAGAAGAAGATCAGGTTTGACCACTACCTGGTGCCCAACTGTCTGGTGGAGCTCAGTCTGCTTTACATCGACCAGGGCAGGAGGGACGAGGCCATTAAGCTGCTGCACAAAGCCAAGTAAGTCTCTACAGGGTGCACATGTAGATTTTTGATTATAAAGCTGTGCAATATTTTACCAGTTTTCTGCCATTTTTTTGTTTGCATTGGCAGAAATAGTCCCTCATTTAGCGACCTTCCTACTGAACTAGCCCACGGTATGTCCTGGAGAGGTCATGAAGCCTCACTGAAGACTTTGTCATAGTGTCTCCTTACTGATTAAACTCAAACATCGCTCTCTGCCGCCTCCTCTGGTCGCTACAGTGTTAAACAATAAGAGGTTTATCATCTAGGAGGCTGGTATTGACAGACGCTAAATATTAAACGACTTTAACTGGATCGTAAATTTGATATAATCAGTTCTTAAGTGGTCTTGACCCAACCAATGAGGCATCTAGATACTGTTCAAACTGCTGCTACATTCACACACAAGTCTTTGTCTTCATTAAGAAGCTTAAGAATCTACCGTACAGGAAACGACAGCTCAGCCTGGACAGGAAGTCCCGCCTACAGCTGGTTGATTGGCAGCTCGACCCCCTTCAGGGACTAAATCAACCTTCTAATAACTGTTTCTGGGTTCGAGCCTCTTCTTGTGTTTTTAACGTCCTGCCGCGTTGTGGAAATTCTGGAAGATGTGGGATGAGGAGCCCGACACAGAGAGACTCAGATGACTTGAAATAAGGTTTACTGATTTATCAGGAGAAGTGACACGAACAGAGCAGCAGTTCTAAAGATCCCTCTCACACCTTTAGTCTGATGTCCTCCTTCAGTGGGAGCCACATCCAGATTTATGGGTAAAAGGGAAACAAATCATGGGTATCATCTGGCCCTGAGAGGTGCAGGCTGTCCTCCTGCAGGGAGGTTTACGTGAGGTTAAGAATCTATAGAAGTTACAGAGCGCACATCTGCTACAAGCTCTACGTTTACCGTAAGAGGTCAATCAGGGCTCAATGTCTTCTCTTAAAGATTAACTCCAAACCAGGAACGGTTCCTTCACTTGCCGTGCTGTGACCCGTATTGTCTGAATAGATCTCAAAACTAGTCGGTGATCATTCTGCCAATATATTCTGTTATTTACAGGACATCTTTAATCAGTGGTTCTCAAACTTTTCAAGCCACGACCCCCAACATATCGTACGTTTGTGTTGATATCTCATGAGTAATAACTTTGTTGTTCATGCATTAATGTGTTAAAATTTAATTTGTTTATTCCACGTATTAATCTCTTTACATTAACACATTAATTTTCTTTTGAATGAATGAATGAATTGAATTTATTTCGAACAAATGAAAGGAAAAAAAACGAAAATCATTTTAAAAAGAGCAAAAAACAATAATAATCAAATCATATTAACAAGTTCAAAAGAGGAGTGGGAAGAAGTTTACAAGTTTAATTTTGACAGCCCTGATACACATTTATTTGATAAATGTTGGCTTATTATTATTATTATTTATATTTTTTTACAATGATCTGGCGACCCCCTGAAATTACCTTGGGAACCCCATGGGGGTCTCGACCCCCAGTTTGAGAACCACTGCTTTAAATAACCCACATTGCACACTTCAGCCTCCAGGCTCTCGATGTCTCAGAGACTAATAGTTTAATGTTTCTGAAAATATAAATGACCGTTTTATCTACGAGTGATCGGGCACTAGTGGGTTCTGTAGCTCAGTGACTGACCCTCACTGAGAACACTTTAACCCTCACCGCTCTGTCAGACGCTCGATTCTGTTTGTAGGAGCAAAACAAAACTTGTGTAGCTTCTGAGGTTGGCAGATTATTATGATTAAGTTCACAAACCCTCCAAAACTATAACATTTAGTAGGAATCAGTAGGGGAAAAAAGTAATAATGCAGAGTAAGGGAAAAAAATTAAGACTATTGAAAATAAATACATGAACAAATCGATGTAAAACTTTATTATTGTTCCTTTACATTTTCCTTTTCTATATATTTCTCTGTATATCTCACATTTTTTTTTCTTTTTATAGTTATATTCTTTTTTTAGAGCACTCCTATGACTCCATAATAAAGACATGCTGCTTTAACTGATGCCAAAAATTTGACATTTTGGAGTATATGTTGAGGACAGATGGGAAGATCAGAGCCTCTCTCATGTCTGTACAGTGAATATAAAGAGCCGGTTAGCTTAGCTTAGCATAAAGACTTAAAATAATGGGAAACATCTACTAAATATATATAAGTTTCACATGCAAAGTCTTCATTCCAGGACTGTTGAGTAGGATTGTATCACAAAAAAACGAGTGTGATTCAGTGCATATCCACTACAGGACCACTAGAGGTCGCTCTCCACCTACGTAAACACACATATTACCCATTCATGGGGGTAAATCCTGTGGGTTCTTTAAAGACTGATCATCTTTGAAGGTGCCGTGGATGTAAACTTGACTGCAACTTTCAGGGCGGATCGATAAACTGTCATGGCGGTCCAGTGTTTAACCACGTCCTCTCCTGTTCTGACCCGCAGACACAACTACAAAGAGTACTCGATGGAGTCTCGCACACAGTTCCGGGTTCACGCCGCCCTGGCCAAGCTGAAGGCCGACACCCGTGAAGAGGAGGAGGACACCCATCTGTAGGGGGACGGGTCTCCGGCGTCGGACTCGTGGCTGTTTTAACTCCGGCAGCTTTTAACTTAAATATTTTGTCTACAGGTGAACACTGGGTCCCGCTGTGGTCAGCTCGACTTTGAGGTGTTTCTGAGTCTTGACAGAAGGTAGAATGTTTACGAGCGCCGTCCTCGTCGGAGCCGAGCGAGCTTGAGACTTGAGTGTACATACGATAGACCTTTTATTTTCTAGAGATGTTTACATTGATGATTAAACACTAAATCTTAACTGATTGAAGCCACTAGAAATAGACAATTTAAAATGACGTGTACAGTATTTTACTGTAGTAATAGTTTCTTTTGATTACAACATAATTAAGTTGAGCAAACTGTGCTGATGTTTTGGATTTACGACGTTTCAGGTATTTTACAAGCTAAAAGTAATTTGAATAACAAGTCAACTGGTGTGAAGCAGTTTAGAACCCACAGCCAGTATTGTTTGCACCCTGACACGTGTACGGTGGGTCACTGTGGCGTCCCGTTGAGCATAGACGATGTGGAAGTACATAAGAGGACAGCTGTGTTTGATTTTAATCACGATTCAGTGTTGATCGGGGCGTGCATTTACCAAAAAAACCCAAAACATTTTCAATAAATGAACTGTACCGATGAAAGTCTGCAGTTAAATTAACATTCTGTAGTTTATCTTCTTCCTTTAAAAGCATTTTAGACAAACTGTAGTCTGTACAGATGTTCCATTTATTACAGTGACAGCTTTATATATATGATCAGATCCTGAAACATGAACAGATACGGTGAGAAAAGTAAATAAAAGTTGATTTCTTTCCATTGAAGACAAACTGCTGCTTTCTCAAATCCAGATCATTACAAAAGGTGTCGGGTAACACAAAACTAAACTGGTTTTCAGGTCCATGTGAGTTGAACAGCACACCTCCATCCGGTTAAAGTCAGACGGAGGTCCAGCAGTTATTTACGTCTAACGTGAGTCATTCCGAGACTGAGGAGGAGGCGGCGGGAGGTGTAGTGAAGGCCGCCACCTGCTCGTCTCTCAGTCTGCGTTTCAATAGTTTCTTCTTCTTCTTCTCTTCTTTTTCTATCTCAGCGACCATTTCCAAGAACTTGTGACTGCGGGGGTCCACTGCGAAGCCAAAACGGTGTTTGGCCTCCGCCAACAACTTTGCACGGCGAGCCTTCTCCTCCTGTACCTTCTGTTTGGCTTCACGCTTTTCTCTGCGCCAGTCAGCGATCATCTTCGGCATTTTGGCCATGTTTGCTGCGATGAGTTTTTCCCTGCGATGGAAAGAGTAGAAAAAAAAACAAATGAGTATAGCAGATGTTAAGCTCTGAACTCAGACGGTGACCAGAGTCAGCAGCGTCTGCTAAACATCAGCATGTTAGCAGGACTGTGGAGCTGGTTTGGAATGACGCAGAGTTAAATGTGCTTGTAAACTGGGTCCTGATTTAAATAAGAATAATTTAGATTAAAACTGCTGCCTGTGTCATCCAGCAGAATATTTAACATTTAAAATCTCTTTCTGGTAAATGATAACAGCAGTACATATAATGTCTAAAGCTTCATTTCAGTATTTGTACTGAAACTAAACTGCAGTGAATGATTATTTTCACTGTAGACTAATTTGTCGGTTAATTTCTTGATGACCTAATTAGTTGTTTGGTCTAAAATGTCGCAAGATCACATCCTTAAATATCTTATTTTCTCCATGACTCAAAGCGAATCAGTTTACTGTCATCAGAGGAGCAAAGAAAGCAGAAATATTCACATTTTAAAAAAGCTGCAATCAAAGAATTTAGACTATTTTTTCCGGACTAATCAAATGTTTAAATAGCTGGTGATGAAGTTAATAGTTAAAAGTTTGACAAGAACAAACAAATGCAGTGACCGTTTTGTGACGTTTGTCTTTCCAGAATCATGTCATTGTTGATTTTAGGGCTGGACCCGAACAGCCGACTATTTGTTTGCTGTGCTGGAATCAGGATATTAATTTTGATGCGTGGTTACCCCAAATATTCAGGATATTGGTCATTAATTGGGTCAAATATCCGGAGAACAGACATTGCTGTTCGGACGAGCCCTGGTTGATTTAATCTGTTAGATGCTAGTAACTCGACTGCGACTCTTCCAACATGTTAAAAATGTACAGTTTGGTCCAAATGTAGTCAGAAAACATTCTTATGAATGACCCAAGTGATGACAGATTTTAATTCTTTATGTTAAGCATCAGCACAACCACCTTGCTGTTGACTTTAATGCTTTACTAACTTATATTTCTAATGTTTGTGGCTGTTTTCTAAATGTAATTAGTTCTCAGATCTTATTTGTAAAACATCTTGATCTCAATTAGAGTTCCTGAATAAATAAAGCTTCATATTCACACTGTAGACTGTACAGGGACAGGCATCACAAGCCTGGAAACGACAACAAAACCAGTTGGAGACGGATAAAAACGACCACACAAACAGAATATTTCAGAACACGTTTCTCCCTAAAAGACGAGTTTAATAAAAACCTACCGTGCCACAGGGGGGAGGTATATCTGAAAGGGTCGTAATATTTTACAAGTAGTGTTTTAAGATAACGACTGCAACGAGGCAGCAAAGCAACCCCGGACCAGAACGTTTCCACCGCCGCGCTCCGTCCTATGAAGGCTTTTCTCCCTTCTACAGTTACCGTATCAAAACAAGCCTTTGATCCGTCTCTCCAGAACACATTATTCCTAAAGGCCTGCTCTTTGCCTGTATGTTCGTTGGCAAACTGCAGTTTTGCTCTAATGTTCTTTTTGGACAGCGGCGGCCTTTTCCTGGCAGCCGTGCAGGTCAAATTTGTACAATCCCTTTCTGATTGTAAATGGAGCACTCTGACACCCGCAGCTGCAGAATTACCTACAGATCCTTTTTTTTTAAAGCATCAATTGCTCTTCTCTTGGGCGGTTGTTAGAAACACGGCTTTAGTAGATGATTTTGCACACAGTGGAATAATTTAGGATCATTTTTAGATCCCTTTCCAGGCTCGAAAGCATTAGCAAGTGTTTTTCTGCAGGCCTTATAGAGCACTTTAGAGCTTGGCACGAATGCTTCGATAGCAAAGACAACAGCAGAGGTTTTATGTCAGAGGTTTGAATAAGACAAGAGTTCATTTGTCACTCCCAGAAAAGGGAAGGTGGACGTGAAGCGACATGTCAAAAAGGGGGTGATGGACGACAGCTGAAGTCTTTACAGGAATCCAGCATTATTCTCCCATTCATTTTGAATTAGAGTGTTTTCTTCTCTAATTGGAATAATTCATCAGATCTTCTTTCTTTTTCCACTTTTATAAAAACCACCAGAGGAGTCACGGCTGCCAGATATAAGAAGTTTATTCCAACATTAATCTAATTGTAAGGCTGCATTGTACCAGCCATAAATCCTACTTGATGGAAATACAATTTGTAAAATACTCTCAAGTTGTTTTAGCTCGTAGGAAGCCAGTGTTGTTAAATGACCTTCTGGTATTTATTAGTGGGGAAAACGTGTAATTATCTGTCCATTTAAAGGGTTTGAGCGGCACAAATTGGAGCTACAGTACACTAATAAGCGTAAGAGTACAGCTACAAACAAGTCTGTGAGCGACGCGGAGCAGACTTGAGCTGACAGGTTGTTGTTGAATTAGCTGTCCGATAATGGAAGCACCCACGTACCTCGCCAGCCGTTTCGCTTCCGCCGCCTTCTGCTTGGCTTCCACGTTCCGAACCCGCACCTCCAACGGGGGATGCCACTCTTTTTCATCCGCTATTAACTTGTCCAGCGCCTCATGACTGGGCCACAGAGAGGCAGGGTCGATGCCCGACGCTGCGCCGTAGCGGCCGAACAGCTTTCTGTCGTACCGGGCCGTCTTCTGCCACTCCGGCGTCTTCTCGTCGTCCTTGTCCGGGATGTACGGAGCCCGCAGGTTCAGCTTCAGCGGTTTGGGGTTGTAGGAAGCTGCCTGCAGGAGGAACACACACGGAGAGTTGCCGGAAAGTACAGCTTTGGAGGACGAAATTCCACTTAAAGTCCGACATAACGCCGCTGTCCTCCTGCACAACATGGACGCCGCCATCTTTGTTCAGTGGAGGAAGTAGGACCCGGAGTGAAGTCATAGGTGTCCGCGGCGGTGCCTGATCGACGGAGTGTTTCTAACAGCGGCGTAAATTTTAGGGAAGGTGCTGCGGATATGTTCCTGTCAGTAGTTAGGACACTTGTATTTGTCCCTCTTTCAAAAAAAATTAATAGATAAAAAAAATAAAATAAAATCGAAATGACCAAAGTTATTGCGCAGTAGTTTATTTGTAATCCGTTTTTCAACCCTCAAATGAAACTCAAAGTGACTTAAAGGAGGCAAAATACAAGAAAAAATTAGCATAAAATCAAAGAGTAATAATAATTAAACAAATAAGTTGTTAAAATGCTTTGAGTTTAAAAAAAAAAAAAGCTCTCCCAGTATTTCATTGCTAAAACTTTTTTTTTTCTTACAAAAATATTGGTCATTAATACATTTTTATTGTTGTTTTTAGCAACAAAAAACTCCCCCTTGCCAAACCTTCTCTATTGCCAGCGTCTACAAAGAGAACATTTAGTCATTTTCTAATAGTTTTACATAACTGCTAATTGGAAATGTATTCATTAAGAGCGAACAGTTGGAGGTGGCACAGCCAGACAGTTTTTATCGAGGTGGCCAGGCTGAGACCATCGCTCGCGTCGGGGTGGCACAGTTAATTTTTCAGTTTTCAGCAAATCACTGGAGGCTAAATAATTTTTTTCAGTCACTCATATGTGCAGACAAGACTGATAAGAGGACGACAACTCCTACACAGAATAATACGATTTTTTTTTCAGTTGATTAAATACCTGGAACGGCGACTTAACATATGCTTTTTAAATATAGTTGTTAAAGCCACTAGATAATTGGTTCATGTACGACTTTAAAACGTCTAAAGAGTCCTTGTTCTGAGACACTGTGTCCATCAGGCCTGCAGGTTCTGGATCAGCGTCACATTGTTCAGCAGTTTGGTTTGTCTTTAAGAATCAACAGCTAAAACTAAATCATGCACACGTTCACTTCTTCTTTATTTCCACATGAAAACTGTCTAAACAATTTTCAGTAACAACATTAACACATTTTCTGGTTGGTCAGAGCTACTTTTGTTTAATGCGGTTGAGTTAATAATAAATGGATTGATCCATTGTGAGTAAGGGACTGTTAGCTGCAACCGTCGATGACAGAACAATAAGATGGACGCAGATGTGTCGAAGAGGCCGAAGGATGCAGGCAGCAGATGGTAAAAGTCTCAATCCGCCTGCAGAGAACATAAACGTCTGCAGTTTGGGTGCATGTCAGCGGGTCAGATATGCGACTGTATGTCTTCTGTAGGTTTGTTTCGGCTCATTGAAGCAGAATAACTAAATTAATGCTTGCGGTTTGGAACCAATTACCGTAATATGTTTCTTATAAAATCTCATAAGAAAGGATTTCACTTATATTCGGCGGGGGAGCTGCGATGACTGAAAGGTCAAGCGGTTCATAGTCTGTCAGTGGCGCTCTCGGAGACTTTGGCTCTTCTGCAGCTCGGCTCAGCGGTGGGGGGTCCCGGTTGACTTGGAAGTAGTTGTGAGCAGGTGGGCTGGAGCCAAAGCACCAGAGCACGGAGTGGAGCTGAGACTCTTTTAACACCTTCTTTGAACATTTAGGGACCACTGGGCACGGAGTAAACCTCACAAAGAAAAGGATCTTTGTTTCAACCTCTGCTCCACCTCCTCCTTCGTCTTTTAGCTGCCTCCGCCCTCCCTCAACTTTTATATTTGATTTCTTTTCAAGAAGCAGAGATAGAACAAATGGGGTTGCTCTGGAGTGCAGCACTTACAGAGACAGATGTCATCGCTTTTGTACCGTGGGAGCACGCAGAGCTCTCCGTCGTCATTAAAGATTTAGGGTTCCTATGGCAAGGGGGAGCGCTAGACTGAAGGTGGGGGTGGGCATGACAGAGGCTTAATTTGGCTTAGGAGCGATCTGGTGCCAAGCCCGGGGCTTTGGGGATCACATCAACGTCAGTCACAGGAAAATAGGCTTGTTAGCAGTTCGACGATAAGGGGATGGTGGCGACATGACAGGTCTATTTCTGAGTGAGTGCGTGAGTGGGAGGCACGGGAGGTTAATACATGTTTAGGGAAGTTAGACAGAACACGCTCACCTGAAAAAAATGACTCGATTATCCCTCGCAGTGACATCTGTGGTTGCCTCAGATTTGTGTAGAGCGGCGCATCGAGGAGGCTCTGCTGCCACCGTAAGCACAGAGGAGGCTTGCTGGCTCCTATTGTTGCTCAGAATGCACGACCGCATCTATACTTGAAGAAAAACTACAAATCATTCAGTGGAAATTAGTCGGGGTGGTGCTGGATTGGAAGCCAAGAGTGCATGCTGGGAAGAAGTGAGTCCAACAGTTTGCGAGGTTATGCTGGAAGCACAGAGCTGCACACTATACATGCAGAACATGCCGGCTTGAATTAGTTTCGCTGGTTTCCTTCCAACAAGAGCCTCTGTTCCGAAAGTTGGGATAAATATATATTTTTAAAATGTACAATTAAAATACATCTGAATCTTAGACTCATTTACAGTCTGAAAAAAAAGCTGTGAAAATCGCCCTCAGCTATGGAAATGTGTGATTTATATTTTCCTGACATTTGACTCACAATTTGAATAATCCATAATTAAGACAATGATGGGCAGATGATATGGAAAAAAAGGCTAGCTGCAGTCTGAGTGTGATGTAATACTCTCATAAACTAAACCAACGACACGTTAAATGAAGCTGCCATCAGCGGTCATCCACGTGAGATAATTAAATGTTCAATGTCTTCTTTGAAACAAAACTCAATTTACAGGAACCGGACTCTCGTTTCGGTGACCTCGCTGAGCCCGTTTCATCCGTTTGTGATTTTATCTGTGGTTGAAGTTGGATGCAGGAATCCTACTTGTGTCTTTTGTGGACTTTCAATCAAGCTGCACAAAAATAAAATCCTTCGGGCGTCACCACAGCTCACCTGGTTGAGCTGGCGTCCCATGTATAGGGGCTACAGTCCCCAATGTGGAGGTCATGAGTTCGAATCCCGCTCATGGCCCTTTTCCACAGGTCACTCCCCCATTCATCTCCCCCAATTTCCTCTCTCTCTCACTGCACTATCAAAAAAAGGCCAAAAAATAGCTTTAAAAAAGCCCTTCAAATTTGTTACTCGTGTCATAACCCGTAATTATTGCGGGATTTCCTTTGTAAGATGAAAACGTTTCCTCTCTTTCGCATACAGACACGTTTATTTTGTGAGGATCCTTGTCGACCACCCGGCTTCTGACTTCTGAACAATCACAACTAGATTCCTAAACTAACTTCTAACACGAAGGCTTAATCGCCAAAAAACACTTTGAAGGTGAAACTGAGAACCAACTTGTACTGTGAAAAAATAAGAAGATCTTATGGAAATCGTTGACTTTTTCTTGAACAGGAAAAGTGGCTGGAGACAAGGGTGATGTACCAGAATTAAATCAAAAGGAACATTTTTTTTAATCATTCGCACATCAACAATATCAACGGCTGCAATGTTCTTCTGTGGAAAAAGCAGCTACACCCTTGGCATCAGACGTCAGCGCTGACCCCTGTAGCAGAAAGAACTTCTCGTAGGTGTTTTGCATGATGGTCCACCAGTGTGTGTGGCATCGACTTTCTAGTAACTTTGCACCAATCTTCCTGCAACATTCCTTCACTTGCAAGATGTTTGAGGGTTGTCCTGCATGTTTTGCCGTCTTTACATGAGTTTCCACAACCCTCCGTTTCTTCTTTCTTCTGCTGTCTGCTCAGGATCATCATCCTGTTGAAACGTCCACGTCTGGTTCAGCTTCAGCTTTGAGGCAGATGGCCTCACATCATCTTCCTCTTTGATACGACACAGAATTCACTCTTGAACCGAGCAGCGACCTCGCACCACCAGACGAGGTTCTTCTCCTGAAAAGCTGTTCTTCGTTCTGCACCGAACACGTCTGCTGTTGCCGCGGCTCTGCCTTTGATCCGTCTCTCCAGAACACATTATTCCAAACAGGGCCTGCTCTTTGCCTGTATGTTCGTTGGCAAACTGTAGTTTGGCTCTTAATGTTCTTTTTGGACAGCAGAGCCTCTTTTTTTTTTTTTTTTCCTGGCACGCCTCCCACGCCGGTTCAAATTTGTGCTCTCTGATTGTAGACGCAGCACTCTGACACCAAGAGTTACCTGGTGGTGAAATTTTGAAGTTCTCGGGCGGCCAAACTGCGAGTCGTTTGAAATCTACACCGCTTGCAGATGATTTTCCTCACAGCGGAATGATTGATTTCCAATAAAGGTCTTTTTAATTCTCTCGCCAGAGTCAGAGGCATCCACAACCTTTTCCCTGAAGGTCTCAGCTGTTTGAGTCTTAGGCATGACAACGATAGATTTGAATAAGATAAATAAGATCACTCCCTGAAGAGTTTCTGGTCACTAAACCCTAATCTGGAACCCCTGATTCTCATTTAACGGATTGGAAGGTTTGATAAATGTAGGTGCTAACGTACTGTTTTTTATCTAAATCATAAGAATGAGTCCAGAATGTCAGTTTTATGTGTCATTTGTTCGAGCATATCATCTCTATCTGGAGGCGCTGTTTCAAATAGGATCACATGTTTGCTTGTTTAAATCTGTCAAAAAAAAAAAAAGCCCAACAATTTCCACTCACTTTTTTTTTTTACATGACACACACTCACAGGCAGACCGAGCCAAGGTTTGGTTTTGTCTTTCCTGCTGAAGCAATTTGCCAAGCCAGTGTTACTATTTGTTGACACAAAGAAGAAATCATAATAAATTGAGTCTAAATGAACCACTCTTTTGTTGGCCTTAAACAATGACGGGAGGGGGTTTTACTCAGAAATTTGGCACCGAGAATTCGATTTGTCAGCATCTCCTCAGAACAAGAGATGAGGACGAAATCCAAATAAAAGAGAGAGAGAGAGAGAGCGAGAGCTGAGCCTTAAAATATCTCCATTTCCTGGTAATGACAGCACAGTGTGGCAATACTGCACAAAAGTAAGAG